AAATGATGATCGCATCATACGCGAAGGCTCAGGAAGACACTATGTATTAAACGAATGCAAAGGAAACTACGAAATGATGGGTAATATTTATGTGGTATATTTGAGTGGGGGTGACATCTTCTCGCACGTCAAAGCTAAACCATCGTGTCGGCCTATCGGAGGTACTTGTAGCAAGTAGCTTGATATTGAGTACCCATGGAGGGTATGATTCAACTAAAGTTTTTGACTGTTAGTGGACAAAATCTCTGGGACGGCGTGAAGTATGAAAGAAATATTTGCTCACCTGCCTCAGGTCTCAGGGGCTCAGAGCCTAGCCAGACGACGTGCCCCCCGACGGGGGCGGGGGAGGAGGGTATGATGGGGGAGGTCCGGGACAAGGCGGTGGCTTTGGACGGAGCGGCGGTTTAGGTATAGGCTTGATGCTGATTGATGGCAATGGAATTGGCGATACTGGAATGTTGTTCGCAACAGTGCCAAAAGTCGATAACATATCGAATGAAGATATTTGAAGCTAATTGAACCAATCGTAAGATAAAGTGAAAATGAAACGGCGTTGCCGAGCTGTGAAAAATACACGTAAATATTATTTTTTGGATTCTAGTTGGAGGAGGTTTAGCAGGAGACATGGAGTCTTTTATCAGCCGGCCGCCCATATGTGCCCGTGTGTATCTCGATGGCACAGTAGATGTCCGAGAACCTCCGAGGACCCTTCGAGAATTTTAGCTTCCTCGTGATACGATGGCACAAGAGTTGATTGACTATCCATCCCATTTATTCATCACGCGACTGAGTATATCGAATTTCAAATCAAATAAAGTTAGGGTGCTTTCACTCAAGCACATTCATGATTCTTATCAGGATGTCAACATGATAAGGAATTCTGTCAATTTTGAATTGTAAAAGTGAACCATACTCCATCAAACCAACACTTTGAATTTTGCAGAATGCAAATTCTCACCGCAATTTGCTTACATATATGATTAATAATAGTACAGTAGTGAACGTGCCATCGTGACGAAGGTTATGCTCCCACAGCGCTCATGTCGAAGTCGATGCGACACGGGCAGATAAGCCTTACGTCACCCTCCTATGATATGCACAATCTCACCCAATCTTGCTTCGTACAGTGAGCTTGTGACCATCCGGTCCAAACTACACCTCCGTGATTTAAAAAGTAACACTGGTTTGATCGCAATCTGAACTGTTCAGATACAAGCGTGACGACACTCACAATAGCTCACGAGCTTGAACTTTGCCATACCTAATCTATATCTAAATCACATGAATGGACCTGAAGACATAAAAATGTCAGAAATATGACACTGGATATAAAGTCGGGAGCCCCAGTAGAACGGAATCTACGTGGGAAGGACGGTGCGTGGTAAAGGTGTCTGATTCAAGCCTTGATGTTTTTTCACCACATGTATTGCCTTGAAGAGATTGTGTATTTGTTTCGCCTCAAGTATCGTTATTTACTTGAGGCACATAAAATCATGAAAGACATTTTTGGCAAGGCAAATCCGGCCAGTTTTTGGAAGTAAGACTGTGGACCAATATATCAGGCGCGGCACGTTTCCGACCCCTACTGAAATCCTTGGAGACAACGGATTGTGCAAAACTAAAAATGGCTTCATGTTGCTTAAGATTTTGAAGCGCACCAGCTCTCTTCAGTCCCCACCGGCGGCACATGGGCATCATTTACAAAATACGTGCGGGAAGTTCCAACCTATCAATATGTTGTAGATGCTAAAAGATTTGAATCATGAATCCTATGCCATTTTTTAGATTTTTTTTGTGGTAGGTGTGGTTTTTATGTCAATTACACGGTGGTCAATTATCATTCTATATTGTGAATGTTTGACAAGCTTACAATACATCAGTCTAAATCTGCTTCCTCCTCCTTCCTTGGCACATTTTGTTGACAACTTTGATCTCAAAGCTTTGGCAAAGGCTTGGTACATATACATACTTAGCACCATATATGAATGTAACACCAAAAGTCCCACACTGTCACTTGGGACTTTGTTCAGTTTATGTAACTTGATCTAAGTAGCTAAGTGGATATGTTGTACCTTTCTTAAAAACCCTATGAGTTGAAAGTATCATTATAAAATCAAAAAGCATGTACATATTTATGTTGTGCTTCAAAGTTTAAAAACAACGGTATCAGAACTTATCAGAGCCCATTGCCAAGATGGCTTAGCTTAACAAAGGCCTCTCTGGGTGGGCGCGTCCGGGGGCTTATAACTAATTGTTGAATTCTGGCATGAACACTCCAAGGAGTATGTGTTGTTATGTAGTTTTTGCATTTTTTTTGCTTCCCTCACAAACAAACATCTCTTTACTCCGCAGGGAAAGTTGTTTAGAATGATTTTCTACACATGCTTTCAGCCTCATATTATAGGCACTCTGAGTAGCAAGGACAAAAGATTGGTCTGAAGATGACTGCAATATCACCTGTAGTGTGGCCTTTTGGGATCCTAAATTTGCGTAAGATGTGAACACACCCTGTACACCACTTTACAAGTGAGACACAAGGCTCAAAAATTTACCTCAAGAGTGTATGATGGCAACAGTTTTCCCAATGCTCATGATCTTCTTGAGCACTTTGAGTGAATTTAAAGTGTTGGTATAATGCAAGGATAACCTCTGAGAGTTTTGAAATCTCCTCATTGCAACTCAAAACACTATTTACGTCCACCAATATTGACAACTCAAATCAATTTTTATGTCTGCCAATATCCTCATCACAACTCAAATCACTATTTACGTCCACCAAAATTCTCATTGCAACTCAAATCACTTTTTGTGTCCACCAATATCCTCATTTCAACTTGCAAAAACCCCTTTTGGTCGCTGAAAAGGTGTCATAAAAGGTATTATATGTGGTTCTGAAATACCTGTCTGACCAGTCTTGAGTTTTAGGCGCTGTTTCACAGCCAAAAAAATGTAGGTGCTTAATTTTTAGTGCCTACATATGCCAAACTGCAAGTAGGTGCTTATTTGACCAGAATAATAAATGTAGGTGTTTTTCATGCGCCTACATTATCATACCAGGCAGTCATTTTCCAGTGCCTCCATTGCAAATTCCCGCAGATTTTCGATGTAGGTGCTTTTTGGTGGGAAACATCCATGTAGGCACTGTTTTGGCAGCACCTACATGGCTTTTCTGTGGGCTGCAAATAGCAATGGCCTTTGATAGGGAAGACAAAATATAGAAAGGTGAATAGTAAAGATGAATTTGTTTGACAATAGTGAACTTGATGGGATATATTCATATGGTGGTAAACAGGAATGACAGAACCAAAGCTACTCATGGTATCTAAAATCTCAGTACTGTTTGATATGATCTGACTAGTCTTACGTACAGAGACTAGAGCTATTGGGTCTTGGATCAATGTGATTGTGTTGCAGGGGATTGTGTCTTGATAGTGAGATCTGATGATTAGATTGTACCATAGAGAAGAGAGCCATCTCTGAGGATGACGTACAACTGAGTATATATAAGAAGAGCTTGTACATGTATAAGCATACAAGCATATCCAATACAATGATCATAAGACGTGATCATAACACTGTTGCAGATAGAAAAAGTTCCAAATTAGCATGTTCCATTTTGTTGATAAAAGGTTACCAACCACAATTCTCTTTCAAGGTTGATACTCCAAAAAATCTGCCAATGAAAAACTATCAATCTCCACACTGAGTATTTTGACTAAAAGATGGGCAAGGACAAGATTAGCACAATGGAAAGAATATTTACTTCACGGAATGACAGAGAAAACAGCAAAGGGATTGATGAATGGCTGATCTTTCAAGGTTGCAGAAAAAAATCAAAGAGAGGGGTTCTTCATAAATCGCAATTTACAAAGGGTGAAGTCCTTGGGACACATTCAGAATGAAGAATGCAGTCTCATATCTTATCAGGGAATGGGGGTAGTGCTTCATTGGTGCAACAGTGCCCTTACCACTGCTGGATCCCCATGAAGGAGTTCTTGCTCAAAAAGTATCCATCCAGGTGTTTGAGCCTATCAAATTTCTGTGGATCTGAAACTAATAGCTTGTCTTTATGGCTATGTAATTTTGCTTGCATAGGCTGTCAAAACAAAAAGGGTAATTTCTTGACAATGCAAGACAAGTGCCATTAGCCATCCATCAAAAGCCAGCCAAAAGAAAGGGGTGGTTATGGGATCAATTATGCCTGGTGGAAGCTCTTATGAAATTGGGACCCTTGTAGTTTGGCCCAGAAAATGGATTTTCCTGCACTTGGTGCTCCAATGGAGTATTGCTCAGTTTGTGCTAATCAGAAAAGTGGGATGAGTATCTACAGAGTTGATGGTGAAACTTTGGATTTTGAATGATCATTGTTGAAAATGTGTTCAACAAAGGATGGGACAATATCATGGTGGATGTTTGAGAAATACAAGCAAAACTGAATCAAGGAATGAAAGGTATTGTTAGTACCAAGTGTTATATGAAGATAAAAGCCACTTTTGAACCAAGATCATCGTGTTGGACCTTTGGTCTGTGGGTTTGTTTGTGAATGTGTGAATATGATTGAAAAGGAATGTGAAGTTTGTCACACAAATTGAAGTTTGTCAGTTTGCTGCTGGGGTTTTGACGAGGCACAAGGAATAACCCTTGTCCATGTCACCAAGACCCGAGATGTTTAGGCTGGGTAGGTCTATCTAGGCTACTAGATACGCACGGTAAAATGATTAGGAGATGATCTGGGCCTGGACCAGGCACAGAGAGAAAGTAAACTCTTTGGTTAACAAGATAACCGAGATCTTTCCCTCTCGGTCTGAAAGAAGTCTTCCTGGACTTTGCTTTCTCACTTTACCAGAATCACTCTGGTGTCGTTTCTCCTACTCACTTATCCTCTAAGCCTTAAGCATCTCACTCTTTTTCTCTTCTCTCAAGAAGCTTCCTTTTCGAACGCGGAAACACTGCTAGACTCATCCTTAACACTTCTAAACTCATCCTTCCAAGAATAAAACATGGATGACCAATCTAGTCTAGAAGCTCAAAATAACAGAGAGACCAACCTGAAGGCGGCATTAAAAGGAGGACCCAAGACCAGAGCAGGAGCAAAACAACTTTCAATCACAACTACTCAACGAGAAGGTAAAAACACCGAAGAAATTGATGAAAGTGGCGAAAGCGACCAAGACAAAGACGAAGACCCACCAAATGAACAACAAACGACATCAAAGAAGACTGTTAAACAAGTTATTACCTTAGATGACCTGAATATGGACGACGGAGAGAACTCAGATGAAGCAGGTAACAAGGAAGCAACAAGCCCGATATTCAATGAGAAATCCTCTTCAGACGATTCATCATCAGAAGACGATAAAATCAGTTAGTTAATTCACTCTGTAACATCCGTCCCAATCCACAGTCATGATATAGTCCAACATCTCAATTATACCAAGGCGTGATATAGTCCGACCTTTTCCCTATCTACTTTCATCCACACAGATATATGTATTACATCGTGATTTAGTCGGATAGTATATATGTTGGATTAAAATCCAACTACTTTATGAATCATAAAGTATTACATCGTGATCTAGTCCGATAGTTGTATGTTGAGATTTGAATCCTAAATCGTGATATAGTCCGAGATTAATGTAGATGCAGGTCCGGAATCGTGATGTAGTCCGAAGTTTCCGAATAAAATGACCTAAGGAGCATGTTAAAAAGCTCAATGGTTCTAATTTAAAGATCTACATCTCAAACTAATCCAATCGCAGAATTCGATCCCAAATTTCACTAAAGCAATGAGAATGCTGACGAAGAAATTTGTCTCTACATTCGTTTAGATAACTTAGCTGCGAAAGCACAGAAGGCCTTACTAAAGGGGAACAATGCTAAAGCAGCGTCAATTTTAGCGAAGTTATCAAAAGTGGAAGGAGCAGCTCAATCTGGGAAGAAAGAGCCTTTAGCGATTAACCCGTTGCCGTACACCGGAAGAGTCTCGAGTTCGCATCTGAAGACTTTCAGCAGGTTTTGGAGGCATCACATCAAACTTCTAGATATGCACCTGCCACTAACCATTTTTAACGAAGAATGGATTGAATCAGATTCATTTACTGCTGAAAGCTCATCTTCGAAAAGCAAGTCAAAGAACACCGGAAAGGTACCGGATAATGAATGGTATCTAACTTACGCAAACTGGGTAGATGCTAGTCAGTTGATGTTAAACTATTTAAAAGACTTTGGCCATGTTGACATAGCACGAGGGTGAGTATAATCCGTTGAATCCTACCTTTGATACGAAACAAACACTAATTTGTTAAACGGCAATCAGCATGGAGACCCATTTCAAGTATGTACAAAGATTGAGCAAGCTCTACAACTGGGTTACAGCCTTCAGATACGACATAGCGGTTAGGCAAGATGTATTCTGCAACCACGTAGAAGGCAGTCCAGGTAACCCATCTATACCTCGACCAATTTTCTTAGAAGAAGCGATTGCTAGAACAACCACTCACTTGGACGGGCAAATCTTACCAAAAGATAATCGTCAGTCATAAACCTTGATACATGTCAAAACTGATCAACTGATGTATAATTTGAATATGTCAAATCATACAGCATATGCAAAAGGCCAAGCGAAGGAGTACTTCAACCTGATAAATGGACTTGAATATGTTTATGGAAAAAATCACAACTCAACCGAGGGTTTAGCCGCATCAGAGCAAAACACCTTGACGGTACCTGGAAACAGCGGAGGTAATTTCCAAGGCAATAGAAGGAACAAGAGAGGAAAATTCTTGAATAGGTCTACATCACCTTACGAGAAGCCTGATGATAAAGGAAAGGCTCCCTTCAAAAGAAGGTTAGTCACGTTTGTAGAGTTAAGTAACGTCTGTTTAAGATTGACCTAACTTGACCCACAATTTTTTTCGAGATAGCTTCAATGAAAGATGTGCTAGTAGTTGGAAGAACAAAGGAAGTGGAGAAGGAAGCTCTAAAGATTTGGAGAAACCAAAAGAGTGAGACTACTTCTAATGTATCTTTGTGTAACTTCCTGTTGGATTAGATTGTATTTTAATACTTATATGTCTCGATTTGTATCTCTGAAATAAATAGTAGTAGAGTTGTATGTGAATACGACAAAGACATAGAGATGAAATTTGATTCAATGACACACAACACAATTGACGAAGATGTAGATATGAATTTGAACGCGGTCGCACAAATCAAGTTTAATAACAGATGGCCAAAACAAGCTAGATGTGAAATGAATGTTGACGAATGGAGGAAGAAATTGATGGAGCACAATTTGATAGAAAAGTACGAGTACTTGTTGATAGGCTTCATTGAAGGTTTCCACCCTTACCATACGATAGGAACCGAGAAATGGTATACGCCGGACAACCATAGTTCAGCGATTAAAGCAAAAGCTAAAATAGAAGCAAACATTGCTAAGGAGATAGCAAAAGGCAGGATGTGTGGTCCATTTACGCACGAAGAGTTATATAAAAACCTCGGTTTCTTCAGGACAAGTCCTTTAGGCGCGGTAATAAACAGCGATGGGTCTTTCAGACCTATAAACAACATGTCATATCCAAAGAACGACAAAAACACCCCTTCGGTAAATTCATTCGTTAATAAGCATGACTTCAAAACAACATGGGATGATTTCAGGATTGTGTCGACATTCTTTAAGAGACTTCAATCAGCAGTTCTTCTGGGTATTTTTGACTGGGAAGGAGCATATCGGCAAATCCCGACACACCCGACTCAGTGGCCTTATCTGGCAATCAAAGGCTTGGATGGTTATATTTACATTGACTTGGCAATATCATTTGCGGCGTAGGAGGATGCGGGTCATTTGGAGGACCTGCCGACGGCTGGAAAGATCTAATGAAAGCTACATTTAAGTTAAGAGAAGCCTTTCGTTGGGCCGATGATAATTTGATGATTAAAGACGTTGAAAGCAATGTGACCATGGAGATGATAGTAAAAGCAAGTGAATCTCTAGGAGTTAAAACTGATGTGACGAAGTACTCAGAGTTTGCTGAAGAGTAGAAGTATATCGGGTTTGTTTGGAAGGCAAAGAATAAAACGGTGACTTTACCGGCGAAGAAACTTGAAAAGCGACTGAAAGACATTGAGGCCTTTTGGACGAAGACTGAATGGACCAAAAACGAAGCTGAAAAGATAAACGGCAAAATAGGTCATTTGACACTGATACTGCCCCAACTAAAATGTTATTTGACAGAAAATTTCAAGTGGGCAGCAAGAATGAGGGGGTGGTCAAAAGTGAAAGCAACAGATGAAGTCTTGGAAGATATGGCTTTTTGGAAAAACGCCTTACTTCATTTGGAACCTACAAGGATCGTACCAGACCACATTGTCAAGAATGTCGGATGGGTAGGAGATCCTTCAGGGAGCTATGGTATTGGAATCATCATAGGGAAGCGTTGGGCGCAGTTTAGATGGTTAGAAGGATGGCAGAATCCAGAAGGAAAACCAAGACAAACAATCGTGTGGGGCGAAACCGTTGCTGTCCGCCTAGGATTCATAATGTTAAAAGAAATCATGGTAGTTAAGGGTCTGACATTCTCGTGTTTGACTGATAACACTACGACAGAGGCAGCAAGGCGTAATAGGAAATCAAGAGATTTTTGGGTTAACAACGAATGGAAGAAGATCCAAGGGATGCTGATACATGACGACTGCGACCTGAACCTTGTACGGGTAACTTCTTTAGACAACGACACAGATAAATTGTTGCGCGGATTAGATAGTTCCAAGGGTATTCAAAACCACTTATGGGTTGAAATGCCAGAAGACTTAAAACATTTGATCATTCAAGTTGATCCGAAATCGAAAATAAAGTAACCATGTCTTCAGCAGAACTTGTGTTAAGAAAGATCACTCCTAACGAGGCCGGAACGCTAGACGACGCGAGTGAACTTATCTTGAAACTTGGCTGGACTGCTGCTACTAAACGACAATACGCATCAGCTGTAAACAAATTCTTTGCTTTCTTGGAATCAAAGTCTGCACTTTCAACCTTTCCTGCATCATCCAAAACAATCTATCATTTCATTCTATGGTGTAGCGAATCGAAGTCTGTAATCAGCGACATGACAAAGAGATATCTAACGGGCCTACGCATGTGGCACGTTCTCCACGACGTGCAATTTCCTAATATCAACTTAGATAGAGTAAGGTTACTGTCAAAGGCAGCAAAGAAGAATGATGTGAAAACGACATCTTGATCTAGGGTGGGCCTCACGTTGATGGACCTGAACAAGATACTTTCGAAGCTTGACCTAAGTAAACAAGGCGACGTAGTTATCAAAGGAATTTTGCTAGTCGCCTTCTGGGGATTGGCGAGGCTTGGAGAATTGACCTTTCACAGAGACGATCCTGATGTGTTCGTCAGGAGGGGAGACGTAAAGTTCTCCGATGATAGAAAATGAGCCTCGATTCAAATCCGTCTAGCAAAAACCGCGGCTCCTGGCGAAGACCAATTCATAAACTTATGGTCTCAACCAAATGTACTGGATCCCATTCAAGCCTTAAAGGATGTGTTGAAGATCAAGACGTCATTTCTGCAACCACTATTCCCGAGCGATGACATGTGGGTCCCAATGAAGGCCAGCACAATCAACTCTTTATTGAAACGCCTACGGCCCAAAAAGGATGTGTACTGGTCGGGCCACAGCATGCGAATTGGTGGAGCATCCCTAAGGAATCATCTGGGTGTTAGCATTGAAAAGATTAAGCGTCATGGAAGATGGAGGTCATCGGCGTACAAGCTGTACATAAGGCCTTACAGCAAGACAATAGCTAAACGGACCACCTTGTTAGCAGCGAAGTTAAATTCTTCTAGAAAATAGGAATACACTTGTTTCTTTGTGTTGCAAGTTCCGGTTTTGTTTGAAGGGTTATGCGCTGTAATTGTGAAATGTGCAACTGGGTTTTGTGGTGAACCACGTGCCTCGTGTTCTTTGTTTTCTGAGAGTTCCATCTCAGTGAGATTGGGTTTGAGCCCCTTCGGTCAGTGACTCGGCTCAATGAGCCTACACTCCCTGAATTGGGGTTCGAAAGGACTCTTTCCCCTTTCCCTCACTGATTTCTCTCTCGTGAAGAGAAACTCCCGAATATCTCAAGATGTGAGATCATTCAGTAAGAGTTCTTGGAGACAGAAAAACGCATTTTTGGTTTTTCACCCACAGCACGTAAGCCTCACTAAGAGGATAAACTCCTGTTGGCAAGTCTTATCAATTGCACACCTTAGCGTAAGTAAGGGAAAAAGGTCTTTAACACCCTTTTTTGTCTAATATCTTTAGGCATCTAAATGGTCTGTACGTAGACATGGATTGCAGATTTGAATTTCAACACAACAAAAATGGAACTTCAAAGTCATGGCCCTCTGTGGCAATACTGACATGTCCCATAATTATCACAGATCCTTCAGGTAGAATAACTTCAGGCATCATGTAGGCACCATTTTGAAGAATTTAGGTGCTGTTTTGCAGATTCCAGGACCTGTCTCTGTGATGTATAGTGGGTTGTGTCAAGACTGTGGTAACCATGAGTTTTGGCCCAAAATCTACGGCCATCCACAAATCTAGATTTTTGAGAAATCGAATACAATTCCAAAAGACTTCTTTACACTCTCATTCTGAAAATAATTTCTTGGCCCAATCAAAGACAATTTTGTTAGACTTTCACTATAAAAATTTGAATTTTTCACTGGCTTGTACAGACTCACAGTATCAAAGGTGTGGAGCTACTGATTTGGGCTTACCACTGTCCTGACACAAGCAACCATAGGTGCCTTCTCCTGGGAAACAAACTTGCATGGTTATCACCATCAAGACTCAATGAGCCTTGGGTCAGAATCTCCAGCCAAATTTGGAGATTTTCACAAGATTTTTTCTCATTCTATTCATCTCATTTGAACTGAAGATAGTCAAAATCATCAACATGGCCAAGTGAGCTTGTAAGCTTGCATCAACTCAAAAACCAGCCAAATCCAATGATATTCAAACAAGTAAAAAATCTCAAAACTGGTTAATGCAAGTGATTTTTGTTTAATAAGATACAGCCAACCTATTCAGACTGGAATACTCTAGAACTTGATGATGGCATCCTGATTCATTTTTCCATGGATGAGGCAGTGAACATCTGTTTTTCATGCATGGTCACAATTTTGACAGTCAATCTTGTAATTTTCCAACCCAAGGCTTCTTGAGTCTTGATGGTAACACTAATACACCTCTGGCTACTAGACTCCTGGGATATCATCCGGAGGAAAATGAGACGTATTGGTCGGACTCTATCCGTATCTCACTGCCAGACGCACATACGCGTGCGTCGTGTCATTTCGCGTCTGATTTCCATATCCATCCATGCAGAGTCCGACATCCAGACGTGTCCTGGCCTCAGACGTGTCTATGAGGCTAGCCAGACCTGTCTGGCCTCCAAACCCAGTGGTCTTACCAGTCTTTGAGGCCTTCTACGACCGATTGTACAAATGTAATTCCCTTATCTCCCACTCTTTCATTAACTTTATCAACAACGGCCTATCAAGACCAAATCATTTTGAATTCTGAATCAAAACCAAGGACTCAATCATCAATATCAAGCAAACCCTTGTTTTTTAACTCATTTCGACAAATCGAATTGCAAAGACATTTCAACCAATTGAACCGCAAAGACAACTATGTACAGGCACCTATAGACAAATCATGATGAGTCAACCTCAATCAACACAATCAACCTAAACGCAAAAACACACATTTTATACAACTATTTACATATCTGTCTCTCATCAAAATGATCAAATTCATAACTCAATTTAAAGATCATCAGTAAATGGGTCGTCCCCACCTCCATCAGGCTCTTCCACCTCGAACCCAAACTCATCAGCCTCAAACACCTCGACCTCATCCCGTGGCAGCCTCAATTCCTCCTCTTCCTCCCCCCACATTAGCATCCTATGCTCCAGAATCTCCTGATCATCCAGCACCTCGGCTTGAAGACTACGTGCGTTCACATTAACCTCCCACTCCCTTTGGCACTTCTCAATCAGCCTGTCCCAATCACGTGCTAATGAATTGTTGAATTCAGAAGTCGAGCTCGAGTACGGCGCTGTTTCTCTCAGCAAACCGAGCATGTGTACATTCCATGACATCCAGTCTCGACTGTGAAGCTGGCAAAGATTTATCTCTGCTGCCTTCAAAACGGTTTGACTTTCATTCCATACATCTTTTGTTTGTCGGCCCCCAGGCTGAACCAAATCGATTGGACTTTCTATTCCATGACATTCCGGGTCCCATTCTGTAATTACAAGTTGTAACGTAATTCATCGAATCAGTCGCAGACCTGTACCACTTCATTATGTTATGTGCACAAATGATACAACTTACCTTTGGTAGATAAAGTAGAAATACGATCAAAGCTCTGGTCTGTTTTGAGGGCATATAGCATCATTTGGCGGATCTCCCTGCTGATGCGGCGGAGCTCTTCAGAACAACTTCGCTGTTCTAAAAAGGCTTGAATACCTTCTATAGTGCCTCGGTCAACAGCCCAAGCCTCCGCTGGATGTGAGAGTGACCCCATGCTCCAGAATTCATCCTCAATTGACAACTCCTTTGTCTCTCCGAACAAAGGACACAGTAAGTAACTGACAGGCAAGATTGCATTATACTTTGACACTTGTAATTTGAATGAATCATACTTCTTCTTGAATAAGTTATGTTTGTTTCTCATGAACTGCTTGAGACTCTGTTGTACGCGAGTGCCTAACAACATCCAAATGCATTTGAAACATCACTCTGAATTGATTCAAAAATAACAAACTCGTAATCGAAAGGTAGAAGTTATGTACCTTGGCCATGCTTGTCCCATCGTCTTTGAGCCTCTAAAATCCCCACCTTGGCTTCATACAGCCTCTGCTTTGCCATACGAACTCGGATGAGCGCCCGAGCCTTAGCATCTACCAGATCGTACAGTGCATGAGACTTTTGAAGGGAAATACAAAAGGCAAAACTTGTACTTACTGGTGGCTGCTTTGAGAGTGCGAAACTCTTCGCTTCCTAAATCAGCCACCACGGTTGCGATTGCCTCTTCAAATGCTACAATTGAACCTGGCAGAGTGAGTGCCTGCTCTCGTTCCGATTCAGTTGTATTCGGATCACGAGTGTTCCTCAGACTTGCAAGTTTCACACTGTTTCCAATTGTACATATATCAGCTTGGTACAGCTTCGTACTGAAAGTGAGGAGGGAAGATGCAATTCACTGTGATTCTTGCAACTTCTCCTCAAGATCAAGCAAATGAACTAATCGCTCCTCAAATTTGAGACGACTCTTGTCTGCCATGGCGGCCAGTTGCAGAGCTCTCTGTCTGGCCCACTGAGCGGCAAAATAGTCCTGAGTGTAGCGTGGATCAGACTGCAACAAATCGTTTAATGTCTTAGTAGCTTTTAAGCTACGTTCCCTAGCATGCGTCAATTTCTCTCGAGCGGAACCAACTAATTATACACACAATACAATGCATCAGCTAAAAGTGTGATGTGGTTAGTACAAAGAGACTGACTTGACTCTCACCTGCATTACCGCGCAAAAGACTGTTTCGATGCTTCGATCGGAGATGTAAGGTGATCAATTGATGCTGTTTTGTTGAGTACCTATTTGGCATAACCAACGGAGACAAAAAAGACCAGTCACGCTCAAGACCCTCGCCATCCGAGAGTCCCCAGCCCTTGTTGAGGCGAGGGTTATATTCCAATTGACACGACCACCTGTGCACATATGAGTGGAATACACTCGTGCCAAATTTCAGCTGCTCGTTTTGGAACAGTGCATTCTAAGTTGAGACCTTCTGTCAGTAACAAGTAAGAAAATACAAAAGATCACCTGTGGCATACAGATCCTCTGGTGAAACACCGAAGAAAAAGAGAAAAATACATACAGTATCAGACCGTAAGATTGTTATCAGATCGGTCAGCTCGCCCAGATTGGTTTTTCGTAGGGACTACAAGTCACTACCAGACCGATCTGGTCGCTGAAATTTATGCAGACCGGAGAAGTCCTTGCAGACCGGTCTGTACTCACCAGACCGGTCTGTACTCCCTCAGACCCAGACCAGTCTGTCCACATCATTTGGCAAAGACCCCACAGACCGGTCTGACACCTCCTCGCAGATCAGTCTGGGCTCATATCACAAAACCTCACTTGAAGATCCCTCACGAAGACATCAGCCAGACTGGTCTTGCTACACTTCACCACTCACTCTGACACCACTCACTCCGACACCACTCACTCCAACCAGTCTGGACTTGGTTTTCAAAATTTCAACTTATCAAAAATAAACAGAATCGATCTCAACCCACCACCACACAGCCACCTCAACCGATCTATGCAGTCAGCCACATTTAAACCAATGATCAGTTGATCATCACTCTCAAACCAAGCTCAAGTCGAACGAGACCAACTCTCGTTGCACTTCGTCAAGAAATCCACCAGCTAAATCGATACACAATTCACAGTGCAAACTTGCTTGCCTTCTTCAGTGACCTTGGATTTAGCTTTGGTTTCAAAACTGAGGCTAACTCCAAGGCCTTTGAAGAAGGCAAGCAAGCAGTGTTCTACTCAAGACGAACAATCCTTACGACTCAATACACTCTCACTAACGATCACCAATATACTGATTGAACATCATTTAATAGATCAACTGTGTCAAACTTCAGAATCTATTTCATCATCATCAACTTTATCATTCATAAATAAAACAGCAACCAGTCAAACTACACATTCCAATCATTTTCTTCAACCTGTCCATCACCTAACAACAAAGCCTGTTCAATCAATTCTAATTCATCAAGTGGTCGCGAAACAATCGAGCAGCAGTGTACGGTTTTCTCCCAGGTGCTTTTCAACTTTTGAATCAATGCACCCCACTTCGAGACCAACAAATTGACCTCTTCAACACTGCTAGTCGAGTATTGTGCGGTTCTTTGAATCAGCGAGGGAATCTGACTATTCCAGATCAACCAAGTTCGGCAGTATTTCATCACGAGCTCGCTGTGCAAGGCTTTGAGAACGGCTTGACTCGTTTCCCACGATACCTTTGAAATAAGGCCACTGCGTTGAACCAGCTCAACCGGACATTGTCCATTTGGACAGCCGTCCACCCAAGCTACATACACAAAGAAGAACTGTCAGTGTTCAACAAGTAAGTTGACAAAGTACTTAAACTCACGCATCTCACTCAGTGCGAGCAAGCCCAATAATCGTTCCTCCAGTAATAAAGCACATCGAACCATGTTGTGTACTTCACAGGCAATTCGCTCAACTTCCTCCTTGCCACTTCTTGCTGTACGAAAAGCCTGGATCCCGGTCTGTGTATCCAAGTCAACTGCCCAGGGCTCGTCGGGATGTGTAAGGTGGCCCATATTCCAAAATGGATCAGTGATATCCATCGACTTGATCTCATCAAAGCTGGGCAATTTTTGAGCAGGAAAGTCTGGAAATCCAACATTATAAGCTTCAACATTGGTCTTGTATGTATTGTATTTTTGCAATAATGCTTTGTTTCTTTTCTCCATGACAGACTTGTATCTTGGCTGGTCCGAAGTACCTGAATAGACATGAAATTTTAACTCTAAAAGCATAGTATGGAGACTTGTACCTCTACTTACCAATCCCAGGTTTATCCCATTTTTTTTGCCACTCGATCTTCCCAACTTTAGCTTCATAAAGCTTCTCCTTTGCCATTTGTATTTGCATCCTTGCTCGGGCGCGTGGGTCTAAGGAGTAAGAAAGTGAACAATTAGTCTCGTGAATCAATGTATAAAAGCTAGCAAATTTAGGTTCAATTACCTTTGACCTCCGGCATATCTCGAAAGTCATTGCCTCCTATATCCATTGCCAGATCAGCTATAGACTCCTCTAAAGCCACCAGTGTTGATGGTAGGGATCGCAGAGAGCTGTATTCTTCCTCTGTCATGGTCCTCCGACGCTTTCTTCGAAGCTTAACGAGTTCATCACTTAATCGAACAGGACAGCATACAATGGAAGAAACTGTATCGGTATATGAAAGACCTGACAAACAACTTAAAAAAACTCACTGTTGTTCTTGGAACTCTTCTTCAAGATCAATCAGCTGTCCCAGTCGGACCCGAAGGTCTTTGAGAGAGTTGTCAGCCATTATCTCAGACTGACAGGTTTTCTGTCGATCCCACTGCTGGGAAATGTACTCGATCGTGAGTCCTGCAGTAGATTCTAGATGAAAAAGCTGAGCGCGTGCCTCAGCCAACCTCTTTTCAGCAATTCCTAGCTTGCGATGGGCTGATTTGGCTACCAGACACAGTCAAACTTGTCAAAAAAAGTAGAATCAAGATAATGGAAACAACAGAGAGTGACAGCTTACCAGCATCACGTAGCTTTATTGCAATACTGTGTAAAATCTTCAGATGTATTGCATCTAAACGGTTCTGCTTTGTTGCCCATTGAAGCGCAGGAATGAGAGACATGATACCAAACCAGTTACGCTCCAAACCTTCGCCATCCAAAAATCCCCATCCAATGTTCAGACGTGGATTGTACTGGAGTTGACAGCTCCATCTGTGAACGTAGGCGTGGAATGCACTCGTGCCAAAGCTCAATCTTCCTTCTGAACGCTCGTCGGAAAACAGATTGTTCTATAATTACGAATTGTTATAGTCATTTTTGAGTTGGCAAGGATATTTACGCAAATAAATTCTCACTCTGATTACTCCTTTCTCCATAGTACATCCTATATCATACAGAACACCCACACCCGCTTTGTTGGTATCTGTACAAGCTTCCATGACCGCTTCGAAGAGAAATCCCAGCAAGGCATGCACAAAATATGCTCTGTATACAAGATTAAATCAATAAGAGACCTGAAAATGAAAAGAGTAATTCACTTTTCACCACTTCGGATCACATTGACTATCTTGAGCATGTGGTCGTGTCGGCATGCCAGACCGATCAGACCAGTTTCTTCGCTGCCTCGCCAGCTTGAACCATCTCTTCGGTCTTCTGCAGCTGTGTGTTGAGTTGTGCATGGGTCCTGTGAATCAATTTTTTTAAGACCATCTGTCAAGTACATTACCAACTAGATATACATACCAGAGGGACTTCAGTCCTTCCATTACCTGACTGTTGAGGTTCCCAACGTGCAACTTCATCTGTGCGAATAAATAAGGACGGATTGGAAATCAGAATTTCTTCGATATCTCGACTGGCTGCCTCATGACGGCGCTGTTGAAAATTACCATCAACACAAACGATGTATTGCGGGCCTTTCTTGATAGGGGAACATCCTGCTGGACCGAAACATCTTGGACAATTGCACGCAAGTTTCTCCAATGGGGTAAGATTCAGGCTCTGAGCCTCGAGATCCTCAATCATCTTGAGTATCTGGCGATAGTAATATACAGCTGACGCAAGGGGTTTTCGCCAGAGGCGAGGCTGACACAACCACGTCAGTCAGTATCTAAATTATACATTCCAGCTTGAAAACGTAATGAGATATGTACGCACCTCGTAAGTTCCAGGCACTAACAGCTGAGGATTGAATGCATCGAGAAATTCGTCGATCATGAGAGAAAAGGGTTGAATATTCGAATGGCAGTATTTCCAAGCAAGATGATACAACCGAAGGAGTCTCAACGAAAAAGCAGTCTCAGGAGTTTTTGGGGATGCCCCAAAGTATCCTTGATTGAGAAGACGAACTTGATCCGGTGTGCAGCTGCAGAACTCGACTTTGAGTTGTCTACGATCTATAACACTAGGTCAGTTAGTTCTGATCTATTGATGATCAAGAATGAGATATCATCTCACACAACAAATCGACTGTGTCGACCAGCCGAGTACGCTTACGACTTGGTCCACATGAGCAGATCTCGACAGTGTTGAAATTATGATCCCAAAGTGAATGATCACCGCCATTGGATGTTTGCTTGACAGCCTTCATGAAAGCAATAAAGACCCTTTGCATTGTTGATTTCCAATGTATGTCCTCTTGGATTTTTTGATGTTTGTAAGTATCTCTGGAAAAATACCGTACATATGTGTGCATTTCTTCTTGATCTGACTCTTGACCCAAATCTTGAAACAGCTCTTGATCGCGCTCATCTTCATCAGGGAATCCAGAATAATTGAAGTCGTTGTGCATAATTTCCGGAGCTTCTTGCTGTTGATTGATAGGATCCAGATTGGCGGTATGTTCCGAATTTCGAGACGGATCATTGAGGGCGTGGCTGATGGATTCACACTTACGCTGACCCCATTCCTTTTGAGCTTGATCCCGTTCCGCTTTTTCGATGGTAGCTTGAGTGTCGGCACGCTGACGTTTAGGCTTGTGTTGAGAGCCTATACATGGTATGGATCGACCTGATGTTCCCATGTTAGAAGATTGATTTCACCAACGTGGAATTGGATAATTCAGGGACCCATCACCGCTTTGCGCTCAACTTGTTTTAGCACATCTATTCAGCATATCACTTCCCCTTTGGGCAGGTCCCTTAAGTGCATACAGATCTCAAATGTCCAAGTCCGGCTCTGTCTCAAATATGGAATTGCCACAAAGTTACGTAATGAAGCAAAACACAGCTAGTCTAGCTGACTGACCGTCTTAAGGTTTCTTTGGGCAGCTCAAGTTGTATGTAGTTGAAGAATAAGGTCTGTGACAGGCACTGACAGGCATCAGTCTGTCAGACTGAGCGTGTGAGATCTAAAAGATTCCTTTGAGTTAATTCCAATGGTAGTTGAAGAACACGGACTTTGCAAGATGAAAGCCTTCAACCACTTGGAAAACAATCACCCAAAGGTACTCGAATGATGAGACCTGACACAGAACATTGATTGAGGAGGTTGTGATTTAGGGAGTTTCTTCAGATTGCAAACTCATGTATATTAGCTGGACTGTGGCAAAAATTAATGAGTGTTTAGTCTGATGCGGGTCAGATGTGGGGGTCTACGTGAGCTACAGAGGTATGGTAAAACCTTTGCTATATGGCAGATGAGCTCAAAGTGGAACCATTTTCAAAGAGTTTGAGAATTATACTATGATTGTTTCAATGGTTGACAAATCCACATTTCTCTATCCCCATTCAAATGAGTGTTGAGTGCAATTTGGGTCAGATCTGGGGGTCTATGTGAGTTACAGAGAGCAAATAAAACTATTGCTGCATGGCAGATGAGTTCAAAGTTGAACTAGTATTGAAAAGATTGAGGATGTTCCTATTATTGATGAGATTTTCAACTTCTGGACAGTGCTCTGTCACCACTTTGATGAGTGTTGAGTCCAAGGCGGGTCAAATGTGGGGGTCCATATGAGTTACGGCGAGCCAATAAAACTTTGGCTGTATGGAGGATAAGGTGAAAATTTAATTATTTGCAGTGCAAGTGAGGAGGGATCTATCTTTGGTGAACTTATTGAAAACTTCACAGCTCTATATCACAACTTGAATTAGTGTTTTGTCACTTTGTGGGTTGATGTTGGGGGTCCATCTGACTTACGGAGCGCAAATAAAACTTTCACAGATTTCAAGGGAAACCAATGTTTGAACCATTTTATTGAAGTACTAAAAATTCTCCATAAAAACTGGAATTTCTTGGAAGTACTTGGGAAATACAAATTTGTGAATGATGACCACAGCTATCAGCATACACATAATTGAATGGTCAGATGCAGCCAAAAAAAAAAATCAAAAAGTTGGAAATTATTTTTGAGAGCAGTTGAAATAATGGTGGAGTAATATTGGGGCATCATGAAAATGTGTGCCATTTTGGTCTGACTTGAAAACTGTAGAAGTTTTATTTGATCACCGTCATTCCAAAAGACCCATACAATAGTAGAAAAAACACCACAATGGGTCATAGAGCAGTATAAGACTGTCAGTAAGGGGTTCAAATGCTGGGCTTTTCCTAAATATATTTTAAAATGTTTCAAATCTAAACTCATCTACCATATTGCAAAAAATGTACTTGAGCAACAACCCTCACATATACCCCCAATTTGACCCTGGCACCAGCAAAACAAGCTGCAAAATACACATAGAGCACTTTGGGAGGGTGACTAAAAAGTTTCTAAATATATAAGATTTCTCAAAGACTTGAAAATACTTCAACCACATTCTCATCTGAAATGCTGTGATTGTTTTATTTGCACCCCGTAACTCACATGGACCCCCACATTTGACCTGCATTGGACTCAACACTTGTCAAAGTGGTGACAGAGCACTGTCCAGAAGTTGAAAATCTAATCAATAATAGAAAAATACTTAAAATATTCAATACTAGTTCAACTTTGAACTCATCTGCCATGTTGCAAGAGTTCTATTTGCTCTCCGTAACTCACATAGACCCCCACGTCTGACCCAAATTGAACTTAACACTTGTCAAAGTGGTGACAGAGCACTGTCCAGAAGTTGAAAATCTAATCAATAATAGAAAAATACTTAAAATATTCAATACTAGTTCAACTTTGAACTCATCTGCCATGTTGCAAGAGTTCTATTTGCTCTCCGTAACTCACATAGACCCCCACGTCTGACCCAAATTGAACTTAACACTTGTCAAAGTGGTGACAGAGCACTGTCCAGAAGTTGAAAATCTAATCAATAATAGAAAAATACTTAAAATATTCAATACTAGTTCAACTTTGAACTCATCTGCCATGTTGCAAGAGTTCTATTTGCTCTCCGTAACTCACATAGACCCCCACGTCTGACCCAAATTGAACTTAACACTCATTTAAATGGGGACAGAGAAATGTGGATATGTCAATCATTGTATCAATCATAGTATCATCATCAAAGTACTTAAATATGGTTCAACTTTGAGCTTGTCTGACATATTGCAAAAGTTTTACTATACGGCCGTAACTCACGTAGACCTCCACATCTGACCCGCATCAGACTAAACACTCATCAATTTTTGCCACAGTCCAGCTGATATACGTCAGTTTTACTAGATAAATCTTGATGATAATAACTTAAGATATGTGACCATACCAAACAACATCTGGTCCAATGCAACCATATAAAATGACTATATCTGCTTGAATTCAACGCCCTGAAGGCTATGTTTTCTTGGGAAAATCCACTTTTTTGACCTCTTGCTTTACTAAATAAGAACTAATATTTATTCTGAACCAATGCGGTCCATCTATCAGTAAAGAACACATTTTCACAATTTTTAAGAGACGTTCCAAAAGTCTACTGGCTTGCTGATCATGTTCCTACTAGTAGTAGTATGAATCAAGAGTAATAAATGAAGCTCATTCTCAGTTTGTGCACCGAGTCTAACACATGCAATTTCTTGTCACTTTATGCTGCAAGTTGAACTTCACCCAAGTTCAAGCTGGTCTGATGAGTCCTGATGTTTCCTTGTACATACAGCCGTATGCATGATTGATGAACATTTGAAAAAAACTTCTCGAATGTTTTGAAAAACTTTTCGAATAATTGAAATTTCAAATGAGTTTGAGAACCCATGATTCTCTCTTTACCACTGTCAAAAGCGCCCAAATCAACAATTCTCAGCAGCATACTCTTCAATCCGTATCATGAACACTTACAGACGAGCTGGTAATGGCCGTTTTTATCATCCTCAAGTGAAGTTAATGGTTGTTCAATGGCTGCTTCAAGGCGCAACAGTCCAGGATGTCTTTCTACGAAGCGGCTTGAGGATCTCCAGAGCTTCTTGTGAGAGATGGTTATTCAAGTACCAAGCCACTGGCTCTGTCATCTCACCTCCAGAGGACTACAAAACACTCGGCGGACCCACTCACATCGAGCCCCATGAGCGTGAGATGCTAAAGGACGCCATCGAGGACGATCCGACTCTTTTCCAAAGAGAGATGGTGTGGAATTTGGAGGAAGACTCAGGAGTTCGAGTGTCACAGCCAACCATCTCCCGCGAGCTGAGCAAGAAGATTCACTTGACTCATAAAGTTTGTCGAACTCGCAATCCCAACCAATCTGAAATGGATCGGGCGGCGTATACACAAATGGTCTCTGGAATCCCACTTGATCGATTGGTTTTCCTGGGTCAGTCTTTCTCTCTACTTGTTTTTCCAAATTGCTTGCTGATCTAATTGCAATTGTTCTTTGTCTTTTGCTTCTAGATGAAACCTCAATCGATAAACGTAATATGTACAGGACTATGGGATGGGCACCAATTGGTGAACATACTGATCGAGTTGACCGCTCACTCCGAGGGACTCGCTACACAGCCATAGTGGCTATTTCACTGGATGGATGTCTTGCTCTCCAAGTCTTAGAAGGTGGACCGTGGCGCATCGACTTTGAGGAATTCATTCGGACCTATTTAGTACAGTTTTTTCCCTCGTTCTCATTGTTTACACCAATCTAATGTTTTGATATCTTGCTTTCTAGCTGCCTATGATGAATCCATGGCCTGAAAAGAACTCTGTTCTTGTAATGGACAACTGTCCAATTCACATGGGTCCTGAAACTGCTTGGTTGTGTTACGAGCAAGATGTAGTTTTGATGTACCTACCGACGTATAGCCCGGACATGAATCCGATTGAGAAGACCTTCTCTGTAACAAAGTCTCATTTTGTCGACTCCCAAGAACTGAACCGCGAGGATTTAACAACAGAGGAAGAGATTGATCGGATTTACATAGAGATTACACGAACAATGACACCTGAGTTGATGATAAGGGTCTACTTTGGTGCCGATTACTTTTAGTCTCAAGCAATTTAATTTGTATCATCCATGTATCAATCAAAATTGTAAAGTGGTCAATTCTCGAGATTGATTCAAAAGATAACTTTTATCTCATATTGCTTTCATTCTTCAAACCTCACTAGTCTCAAAGTTGTTTTCTGTTATTTACACTATGTTGTTAGATTGCATAAAGAGATACAAAAGAAAAAAAACAATAATAATAACGCTGTAATACATTTTGAATCGATTGATTGTTTTGTGTTTCAACAATAATGATACTGTGATAAATATTGAATCAATTGATTGAGTGTTTTGTGTTTTGTGTTTTGTGTAAAACGAGAACGCGAAAGAGATGCTTTAAGTTGTATTATGACCAGTGGCTGCTTTATCATGATAATGTTGTCGATATACTTTAGCTGTGTTAAGCAATCCTGAACGAGTCCCTAGATCAAGACCTTCATTCTTCAAAATCTCAGAAGTCATTGAACCTTCAATCACTTCAAAAGCTCTCCAAGTCGTGAAGCCAAGTGCCTTGATTTTTGAACCTCCGACAGAGTTGAGGTCAATCTTTGCACGAGAAATGAAATCTTCGAATGGCGGGGTGATTACACCACTATCAGATGCATCGAACGGGCCGGCATGCCTGTTGGTTGTAATGGCAGTTGTAGAGGTACTCGCCGAGGGTGGAGTTGCTCTGATTGTTTCCCCTCGAACAGGGGGAAACAAGGCTGAGGCATTTGTCATTGAGAACAGTTCGGTCTTTGGTGGGTGTTCGTCATCGACTTCATCATCCCCATTAATCTAGACATAAAAGAATGAAGTTTATGAGTTTTTTTTATACTTGTTCCAACAACACATGCTTACATTTGCTTCAGCCCAAGTTGTCAAGCGTAAGTGACTTAGCGGTAGCTTCCCCAAGCTACTCGTGAATTCGCAACCATCGCCCCTTGCAGTTTTCTTATGGTATTTGTCTCGTAAGTGTGCCACTTCAACTTGGATCGGCCCAATGGGTTCAACAGGCTAAGTTCAAAGATCAAAATCAGTATCACCCAAATAAAAAAATGTTGAGTAGAACTGACCAATAGACCGGGCTGATAAGCAGCAGTCGCTTGAAATGTTTGGTTTCCACCCGACAAAGTGCTGGAGAGACTTGATTTCTGAATCACTTTGAAGATAATCAGTTTAGCTCAAGAGAACAAATGTAAAGAACTTACTGTGGCTTCATCTCTGGCAGCAACCCGGGGGTTATCCATAAGAACATGAGCCTCAACATCCATTTTACTATTGTCGTTCTTTTTAAGAAGCTCATAAGCCTCGGTCCATCTTGATTCGTCCTCAAGTGGTATGATAGTCCAATTCTTGCGATTGTGGCGGAATCTAATGTCCCAGGTGATATCATTTGCCTCAGGCCCGGTGAGAAGACGTGAGGAGAGAAAAGGTTGGAATCGATTGGCTACTTCAGCCAGTTGGGTTTTGAACTTTGTGAAAGTGAGTCTATTGATTTCGACTGCAAAGGTGGCATCAATCTTGTTGTTCTTTTTCGACTTTGAGCTGATCTGATCCCAACCGGGATGCTTTGGAGCATCGCTTGCATTTCGGGGTCGTTTTTGTAACCTTACAGTCTGCTTGGCTATAAATACATCGATAATTGCTTTGATCAAAACAGCTTTTGTGTAAACAAGAGAAAAGTTCACTTTATCAGTCAATCAGAAGGCTTTCAAGATTGATGTTGATGAAAAACGTACGTTGCAAGTCTTCAACATCAATCTCAATTGATTGATTGTCTTGTGAGTCTGAGGTCATCGGATTGAATCTCCAGGGTCCTGATGAATCAGGTATGAATCAATTGATCAAACTGGGCGCTTTTGACAGTGGTAAAGAGAGAATCATGGGTTCTCAAACTCATTTGAAATTTCAATTATTCGAAAAGTTTTTCAAAACATTCGAGAAGTTTTTTTCAAATTATGGTTCTCAAACCTATGCAAAAATTTGTGCAAGTTTTGAGCAACTTCTGTGCAAGACATGAATAGAACTTGCACGGAACTTGCACGGAACTTGCACGTCGGTCTCGCACGGTTTTCGTACCAGTTGGAACAAAATAGCTGGGGTCGTCAAAAAATTTAATGCGCAAGATTGGTGCAAGAAATCTTGCACGGATCTTGCACGTCGGTCTTGCACAGTTCTTGCACAGGTTTGAGAACCATAAATGTTCATCAATCATGCATACAGCTGTACTTTGAAGAGAAAGAAACTGAAAAAGTAACCATATGTAGTACGGTATGTATACTACGGTACAGTATGAGAAATTTATTGAGCGAGTAAGTATGTAATCAAACCCTGGACAAAACTTCTGGAAGCTTCCAGATCCAATTTGCCCTTTTGATCTCTTCATCAGACTTCTCCACTTGCCCAATTCGCCAGCAACTCCTCAACTCACATCATCTCTCAGCCAACACCAGCCAACACCTTCATCCCACATTGACATGGCCCCTTCCACTCGAGCCACTCGATCCAATGCCCTTCATCGTTCTCCATCACCACGTCCTTCAAAACGAGCACGTCAGCCTCGTGCCACAACCCGAGTCGCTCCAAAGTCTACATCAGCTAATTGAGAGGGTGATGGTGCTCAACCTACCCTGTCTAACCCTCAACAACTGCTTCAAAATACAAACAATACTCAACCAAACCCATCCCACCCTAACAGTGCCACTATCAACACTGATATACCACTCAGCGAGATCACTTTACAAAACTACCATCAGGTCAAGAACTACTGGCCCATCGGACGCATCCAAGAGCAATTAGATAAGCAGAAAACCACAAACCACCAGATCAGCGCAGCCGTAATCACCGAAGGACAAGCACTCATGGCTAGTCTTGACCATAGTCTTCATATGATTGCTATGATTTCAGGAGTCGACATAGACAATTTGAAGCGCTCATTGTAAGTTTAAACAAAATTACACTACCTATAACACCTTCACTTACATGACCATTTTGTATTGGCATCACAGGGGCTTGAAGGGAGGAAGTCACGCCGAAAACACGTGGCATCGGTGGCTGTCTTTTGCACTTGAGGCCAATAAACATCCAAGTGAGTCATTTTTACAGTCTTTATAGAATTTTGTAGTTGAACACCAATCTTGCATCTTTTCCAGTGCCTCCTAGAGGGTCTCCAAACTCCTCTGAGCTTCTCACGATCCGCAATCAAGCTAATTCGAAGGCTTATCAAGCTCTCAAAGACGAAGAACTCGATGTTTTCACAGCCGAAATCTTCTTCTCCCTCGGAGGTTACCCAGACTACTCTTCAATAGTTATACCGGAGGATAATGTACACGGAGACTCTGAAATACTAGTTCCAGAAGTTCCTAAGCTGGCTCCTGAGGAAGAAGAACTGTACCGTCCTATCTATAACCGACTTGTCGATCAGGATAAGGTCACCAGGGACCGCGAGCTGAATACACCCAGCAACTCATCTCGAAAAGAAGAGAAACGCTCGCTACAATGTATCAAAAAGATAGCACAGCATGTAAGTCCTTCAATGGCTATTCTATCTGAGAAGAAACCATCAGATTAATTTTGCTTACTAACTTTCTTTCCAGCTTGCGCGGGACCATCAACTAGTTGGCCTAGAATATTATCTTATCGCCTGTAGTAATACAACTGTAGGTGGTGGATGGTGTCGGGAGTATACGAGTCGTGACGAGATATCTACGTGGGTTTCGACCAAGGCTAACCTGCAAGAGGTGTTTCCCTTATACTGTCAGCATCGGGCTACCATTGAAGAGGTGAATACTGTGGCAGCCAAAGCCAAACCCAATGATCCTAAACCACCAAATAAATCCGACCAAGATAAGAAGAAACTAGGTGGGCTATTGAACAAAATGGTTGGTACGTCAATACCTCAGCTTTTCACTTCATTCAACGTGTGGTCTGATGATACCTTGTTCCCTAGATGATCTCATCGGGTATCACCCTGCTCATGGCTTTCCCCGTGTCCCCGATCCTGTCTGGGCCATCACCGATCGCAAAATACCGATTATTGTTGAGCGTGATGATGACTCAGAGATGACCCCCGAGGAGTTTTCCCTTGGTTTCAATGGCATGAATGCAAGAGCTCGACGTCACTGGCTTGCCGACATTGACAGTGGTAAATTTAGGATCAAGAAGAAGGTTACAAGCAATGAAAGTGATGCAACAGGTGCTGGTACATCTGGTTTGAACGATACTAGTGCAGCTACTAATTCCAATGATCAACAAACAACTGATACACACGATGATAATCAAGTAGACACGAATGATCTGGGAAACGGTAATGCAGCAGCACAGGCTGATCTTGATGGGGAGCCATTGAATTGAGTTTGTAGCTTTTCATATTGTAGAATGGATTTGCAATCGGGGAATCTCATGGATATCTTGATCAAACAGTGACGATTTCTATAATTGTTTCATCCGTTTTGATTTTTTATTTGTGTTCAACTTTTACCTTTCAACTTGTCTTCAACTGTGTCCTTTCTTTATCTTATAACAAACTCATATTGAGTATTGACTGCAACTCTGCAACTTGGATCAAATTGAATTCTTCACATGATGGAACAATTGGTCGAATCACTGTACTGAAACAATTTGTTTGCCTAGCACTTGTCGGTTGAAATGATTGTAACCCCAACATCAACTTCGAACTTGGCGAGCGCTAGTATACTTCATGTTCTTTTCTTTGTTGTCGACTTTCTTATTTCTGTTGGAGGGGAAGATTGAGGCAATGAGTTTGTACAGCATTCTTGATGTGTTTCTTGAAGTTGAAGTAACTCAATGGATTTTGAATTGCATCACGCATTCACTTATTCAATAAGTCATTACAGATCCAAAGTGAAGTATTCAAATTTATTCAAATTGAGTTTCAACAGCATCGAAAATTCAGTCAATTTGTAGAAGTTAATGAGTGAGTCTTCTACAATCCGACTGAACTTCCTTGTTGAAGATATGTACATATCAACCATTTGATTTCTCAAATCCAGCTCAACTTGACCAAGTGCCTTTTGCTGAGTTATTAAATTATTCCATATCAAATCTGAACAGCATCAAAAACTAATTTGGTCAAAGAATGATGACGAGTATAATAAAATTTAATAAGAAACTAGTGTTTGGCATGTGGACTTGTATTGACACTACAGTATAGTTTTCTATGCGCGACCGGTTGTTGTCTCTTTGAAACCTACGTGGGGAGAGTCGCAAAGAACAGTCCACCTGGGATACTTGTATTGGTACATTGTGGGAAGATGGTTTTCCCGGACCCGGAGGTGCGCTTTTCCTCATGTTCAAACGTGACCAATACATGTAATTTGATCCAATCGAGGATTCAAGTGAGAGTTGAAGGCGTGCTTGCGAACAGTACAAAGCGCTGATTTTCAAGTTTTCAAATTGCCAAGTTGTTATTTGTTAGACTTACAATTCGAGACTTGAGAATGGGACAAAGTCTGATGTGACACATGGAATCAAAAGGATCCGGTGAAAGTGAGAAAACACAAAGTCGAATATGTAGTAAACCTTTGGGCTCATGTTTCAATAATTGAGGGAACACAAAGAGTGTCAGATACAATCTTGAAAACGATGACTGTGTGTATGTATGTGTAGTGGGAGTCGGACAAATAAAACATCTAATGAAACTGCTATGAAAGTTCATGCAGTATGTATTGCTATGGAGTGAGAGTAAAGGAGTGGAAACTCGACTAAGATATTGTCCAGGCGAGCGAGAGGTGCAATACGAGCACAGGACGGTAGAGTGGCGAAGTTTGCTCCTCATCCAATGTGTGAGATAGTCTGGTTTGTGTGGACACTGGTTGGTAATGCTTGGGAGGTTGGTTCTCCAGACCGTTTTGAAGTGGTGAGGCAAGGTAATCGGAACACTCAGTAGCAATTCGACCAGACTGGTCTGTGATTATGGACTGATCATCTGGATCGCCGTCAGACCTGTCTGTGAGGCCTTGGCTTTTTTGATATTTCTTAAGACTGGTCTGGGTTTGACTGGTCGGGATTGGATGAGTAAGACTGGTCTGGGTTTGACTGAGTAAGACCGGTCTGAGGGAGTACAGACCGGTCTAAGGGAGTACAGACCGGTCTGCAAGGACTTCTCCGGTCTATGAATTTCAGCGAGCAGATCGGTCTGGAAATGACTTAGAATCCCCGCAAAAAACCGGTCTGGGCGAGCTGACCAATCTGATAACGATCTTGCTGTTAGATACCGTATGCATTTTCGTCTTTTTGTTCGGTGTTTCACCGAGGGATCTGTATGCCACAGGTGCAAAAGATACTGGCTGATTCAAAAATACCTTCTTGAGACTCTTCTCCAAAGTACAGCCAATATCATACAATATACCAAGCCGCTTTGGGCGGTCTACTTCGGATTGTCCCGCTACAAATCCTAAGATTTCATCGAGGAGGGCAAGAACATAATACTGCCTGTAATTGTCAAACACGAGTATTTATTAATGAACATTCATCAATGATAAAAACAAGTGTGTACTTGCTTTTCACCGCTTTGTACAACGTTCACAAACCGCAGGATATGATCGTGGCGGCAACCCATACCGATCAGGCCGGTTTCGTCGCAGGCTTTCCAAGTGGTACCTGCTCGGTGATCTGCAGCAGCTGTGTGCTGTGCACTGCACGGATCCTGTTTCAAAATGTACTCTGAAGTTAGAATGATACAGTCAAAACTTATTAACCTAGATACGACTCACTGAAGCAACTGATTTCTTATTGGTTTCGGTTGGTGCCCACTTCTCTACTTTGGCAGGTTTCATGAATAAAGGTGGATATGCCGGTTTGCGTTCGTCGGACTCACGACTTGCTGCTTTGTGTCTTCGATGTTGAAAGTTACCATTGAAGCATATTATGTAGTCAGGTTCATCCTGCTCATTATTATCCTGGAGAGGACCAAAGCATCGGGGGCAGTTGGAAGCCAGCTTGTCCAAATGCGAGAGGTCCAGTGCCAAGTCACAAAGCTCGTCCTCCATTAGCAACATGTGTCGATAAACATCAACAGCGGCAGATAGGGTTTTTCGCCAGAGCCGGGGCTACAACTCATATGTAGTATATACATATGGTCAGGTTTGAGTTTCAAGTTTGTAGGAATAAGGCCAAGGAAATGACTGACCTGAGTTGTTCCGGCCACAAGAATAAGAGGGCTACTGGCATCTAGAAAGGTGTCTAGTCCCAATGCAAACCCTTGCATGCAAATGCTGCACTGTTCCCACAGTGTGTGGTGGAATCGAAGAAGCCGAATGGAAAACGCGGTTTGAGGATGAACCGGTGATCCCCCAACGTATCCCATTCGGATCAGCCTCACTTGGTCACTGGTGCATTGGCAAAACTTGATCTCTTTCTTGTCACGAGCTATGTACAGTATCCGTACATTCAAATTAATGCTGGCTGATATTTAATTTGACAATAAATCATGAGACTCACAGAGAATATCCACTAGGTCGACTGATTGTGTTGTAAGATCTCCAACACCACAAGCACAAGTGTCATTAAAATCTTCATTCCAATTTTGAAGATCACCCCATCGTGCGGTCCTTGACGACTGGGTCATGAAAGCCACAAACATTGGGCCAAGTACCTTCTTCCACCAAAGGTGCTCAAGCAGCTGCTTGGATTGGTAATAAGTTCCCCTGATGTACTCTCCAAAGGACACGTGAAATCCTCCAACCAATGGAGGAGTAGGTTCTCGAGGTTCGCTATCTTCCGACGGAGACAACGGTGTTTCAAAACGGTATATATACGACATGGCATCTGCCTCATTGTTCTCGGATTCGGAAGTTTGATCGTGATCAGGGCCACCTGTGTTTGGATCGACCGGATTGTTCTGGTTTGCATGCCGGTTCGCGGTAAGAGCATTATGAAGATTTTCCGCGTTCTGAAGTGCTGTTCGAGATTCCACAGCCGCAAGATCATTAGCAACTCTCTGAGAAGGGCCAACATCTGCTCCTCGTGCCCGTGGCCGCTTGGTTCGAGGACCAAGTGGGCACTTGATGACTCGACCTTTTCCCATTTTAGATACTTATTCTTCAAGCCGATAAAATGAGACAAACAATGAAGACCAAGGTGAGTTGTTGAACTGAATCAAAAAAATTAGGATGGGATAAAGAATATCTCGAAAGGAAGTTTGTTCAATGATAGATTAGAAGGAAGTTGAGAGAGACAGAAAACAAAGGATCACATAACTAGCCATGCTTTTGTGAATAGAGGAACCCATTAAGAAATGATGTAATCATTCTTACATCATTCATTGAGATAATCAACTCTCCTTCAGGCACAAATGCTTGTTTAGTGCAATTTTGAAAATTAATCAACCATCCATCTACCCCTGCATCTGCAGGTAAGTGACTATGATAATGAATATTAAACTTCTTCATTTGGATTTTGATTCCCTTTTCAATAGTTGAGCAAAATTCAAGTTTGAACCTGGAAAATATTGATTGTCATTTGGGCTTTCAGATATTCCAAGGTCACTGGAAATGCAACGGTTTTGAAGAGCACTCACTTTCACCAGGAAGAGTTTGAGAAATGAATACCTTTGAAGTATTTCACACGTATAAAGATAGGACATCTTCCCTCTTGAAAATCCCAATTTTGTTCTTCAAATCACCCTGTTTTCTCCCGCTCACTCCTAAAACATCCCCAATCACCATCAAGATGGTGGAAAAAAGGTCAAAACTCCGCCTTAAAATACAAAATCAAATTTCATTGGGAGTTTCATAATGCACTTTTTCAATCACATCACATCTTCCCTCTTGAAAATCCCAATTTTGTTCTTCAAATCACCCTGTTTTCTCCCGCTCACTCCTCAAAATTGAAAACAGTGGGGTTTATTTCTTGAACACTGACGGAGTTTCAAATGTACATGCTCATCAAATCATACATAAAAGTGGGACTGCTGTTGTATTATATGTGAGCTACTTTATGGGATATGTTTGTTGAATGTAGCTCAGATTTCGATGTGAGTACTTTTGACACTATTTCAATTCCAATATGAAGGTTTAAGAACGTGTAAAAAAAGAAACTTTGACTCTTGAGATTCCTCTTGATATAGCCACATTGATCACTTGACTTTTCAAAATAAAATCAAATAGGTAGGCCCTCACAATGTAAGTGTTGATATTATGGTATGTTGGGGGTGCCGGGCTTCCAAATGCTTCGTGACCCGGGGACTGACCGCACAGACCGCACTATATGTACAGTCCAGGTGAGTCACGAGATGGATCTTGATTCTTCCTTCATCTTAACATTCATCTTCATTCAATCCCATCACCCTTCCCCTACGTCCATTATCTTTCTTCCCAGCATGGCTAGTACTC